TGTCATGCAATCTCGTACACATGAGCACTTCATTATTGAGGTATAAGAAAGCATATCATGATTACACGCAGGCATATGAAGGCCTAATTCAGATGAGATCTGAGACGGGAATTAAGAGGCTTGCTGAGCAATCAACCTTGATTTTACTTTCCTCACTTTTGACAGTTAACAGCTGGCTGACAGTGAGGAGCCACTCACTAATTGACGGTATCCGACAATATTCAATCACAGCGAGAGGGCACTCAAAGCTTTTATCTAATCAGGTTCAACCCGTAGACGCCACTTCAGCTTTGTCTGCTAAAGCACAAGCGATTATGTGTCTTTTTATCTGAGAATGACAAACTGATGGTTTAAGGATTAATGCAGCCAATGTTCTTCTCAGTGTTTAAAGGAAAAAATGACTTATTTGAAATACAGGAAGACACAGTAGAAACTTATTACATCAAAAGTTGATTAAGCCGAACAAGTCATTTGTTCTGTAAGTTACAGAAACATTCCTGATTAATAACTTTACTAGGTATTTTGTTTTCACAGTACAAATAAAAATGACAGTTACGTTATTCTCCCCAATAAAATTACTAAAGCTTCTTGATCAAGAATGTCATTTTTAACTTTCAAAATTTTGTTAGTTGTACTTTTTGTTTCAACATTTGTTTTTTTAGTTAAATGAACTTATCTGGCTTTACAGTGTAAGAGCTCCACGCCTTGATCATCCGTTCAGACGTTATCACCAAATCATAATTCTGTTTCTGTAGGAGTTGCATTTTAATATAAACACTATCCCTGGCAGGCCTGGTGATATGAACTCAGTGGAAAATATGCGAGGTCTGGACTGTTTCAGCCGGGCCCTGGTTCCTGTTTGAACTTTTCAACTTCCCTGCAACGACTACCTCATCCACTGTTGACTTCTCTGGCATGTTTAAGGTGAATTTCATGCTAAGGATCACAGCAGTTTTTTTTCTCATCAGTTCCAAAGTTACAACCGTCTTTGGGTGTATTTAGCTATATTTCAATCACACTATGCTGACTACAAAGTAGAGAAATAATTAAAGGGACACTTCACCCAT